GAAAGCCAATTCTTTATTCACATAACAAATTTTTATACCATTTTTACAGACCTTGTGTTCAACTCCAACTGGCTGGTAGTTTCCTTGCCACACGATTCATTGCTTAGGTGTTTTTGTGTGTAAGTGCTAAGACTCTCTCTTTTACCTAGGTGTTTACATTTTTCTTTTGTGGACTCTCGTGGGACAGATTTCTTGTGTATTACAGATGCAAACAGTTTTCTTACCACAATAGCTTGTTGTGCTAACTGCAGTCATTCTTATGATTTTTCACATGGGAAGTTAGCTAAGTAGAAGACATAGAAGACATAACAAGCCAGCTGGTAATTCAGCAGAGCAAGGCCTGATTTTATAAGGCCTTTCTTTTATAATACCCCTACCTGTGTGCAACACATGGTGACATTTTTTCAGAAATTAATGAAGAAAACACAGATTACTGACTGAAATGATTTTGCTCTTTTCCCACCCCTTGAGTAGTGAATCAGTTCACTACTCAAGCACAACCCTCAGGCACATGCCCGATTCCCTCTCTCCCAGCAGCTCAGAGCGGCATTGCACAGCGCTTGCTGTGCGCCAGAGAGCACAAAGCAGGCTGGCCTGGTGGCCCTGAATATTTCTGCAAAACACTCTGCATTTCACACCTTTGCCCTGGCTCAGTGCAGAACTCCAGGCCTGCAGGCGCTTCCTGGCAGAGCTGTGGGAGGCACTGGCTCCTGCAGATGTGAGCTGCCAAGCTGTCACGGCCTCAGGCTGGCCGCGGTTGCCCCGGCAGAAGTGCCATGCCTGAAGGACGCTGCCCTGTGCTCCAGCCTGCCCAGCAGCCCGGCTCCCTCCGCCGGTGCCCAGAGTGCTGCACACACTGCTGCCCTTTGCCAGGAGTGACAGGGCAGCCGGCAGAAGAGTAGGAATCCTCAGCCAGGCCACCGGGCCTGGGCTGCCCTTGGCCTTTCTCTGCTCCTGGGCACACTCCAGACGGCCAATGCCTCCAGTCTGGGCTGTGCCCAGCACGGCTGCGCTTCCCCTCGGGAGCAGCCAGCTGCCACCTGGGCTCTGAGAGCGGAGCATTCGCCCGCTGCCAGCAAGAGGCACCCAGGGCCCGGCTGCTGCCTCTTGCAGCTCCAAGGGCCTCCTTCCAGCCTGCCTCAGCCCAGGCTCAGGCCGCTCCGGGCTCTGCCAGGCCTCTGCGGCGGCTGCACCCTGGGCAGGGCCGGGCCCGCTCTCACCTCACAGTCGCTGGCATCTCCGCACCAGAGGAGACCTTTTGGAGCACCCTCTCTCATCGTTCTGCTTTCTCACTTGAGCAAGGCTCTCCTTCTGCCAAAGGGATTGCCCTTAGGGATACAAATTCAAGTGGCAGGAACCCAAATGTTCTTGAGTCACAGCTGCAGGCCTGAATCTGCACAGGATGCCTTGGCTACCCCACTCCTTTGGTTTCTCCTGCAAATGCCAATGCCCTTTCTGCCTCCACTAGATATACCACAGCTGGGCAAAAACGGGCCAGTGGGTCATATTCCAAAGGCAGTGTGGTCTGGAGAGGATGAATGAAGAAGAGCCTCCCCCACTTACAAACCATACAAAAGAAGCCACAAGTGTGACTTAGCACCAATAAAAAACAAGAAGGAAACGCTGACTTTTCTGAAGGGGTCAGAAGGAGGGGAATCTTCCAAATGAGTTGATGTTTTAGAAACTTTATTTAATTCCAGTCCTAACATTCTGGACATAATTGTTACATTCTTGTCTCCTACTTCCTCTTCTCCTTCACTGAGTTGATGAGTGGGGCCAGGATGGATGCTGGCTTGGCTGATACTACAAATGGATGCTGTCCACAGGAAAAAAACCAAAACAACAAAGAACAGTGAACCATTAATTTCCAGGCTCAGTGCTTCACAGGCTCAATGAGGATTCCTCTAGTTCCTAGAAAGACCCAGAAAGTAGAACCACAGGACCATCTGCTCCTCAGTCGTCTTGTGCAGGTCCTTGCCATCACAGGCAAACATAATCCAGAATCCCACTCATCTGTTTATTGTGATGTCTTCATCTTGCTGGGATTTTTGCCCTGCCAGTGCTCTAGAAATGGTGCTTTCTGTCCCTAGTTCTTCCTTTGGAGGAAACTCCAATGACTCACATAGGTGTCTGCCTCTGAAAGACAAAACCGCTAAGGGCAAGGTGGGGGGCACAAACCAGGGCCCCTCAGAGGCTCACAGTGAGCCCCCCACAGCCCCTGCTGCCCACAGCCAAATCTCTGACCACTCGGCCGGGCCTGGCTTCCTTGGCTTCCTGCACCACCATTTCACGTCTCTGTACCCTGCATTGCTCTACTTCAATTCTTTTGCCACTAGATAAAACAGAACACCTCACCAAATTACAAAACAGGGCAACAGAAGCAGTCAGAGGACAGAGTACCTGTCCTCTCAGGAAATGTGGAGAGAGGTGGAGTTATTCAGTTTTGTGAAGAACAGGCCCCAGGGAGCCACTTATTGCCACTTTCCAAGACTTCAGAGTGGCTTTGAAGAAAGTGTGGGACACTTTTTCAACAGGGCCACTTAGAATAGTATGTGGGCGAATATTTTTAAACACAAAGGGGATCTAATCAGAGTAGGTAGATGGAAGAAATTGTTTACTCGCAGCATGGTGCCACCCTGGCACAGGTTGCCCCAAGAGCTTGTAGGTACCCCATCCCTGGAACCATTCCAGGTCAGGTGGCAAGGGGATCTGAGCAACCTGATCTCTTGAAAGATGTTCCTGCTCATTGCAGGACACTTGGACCAGATGACCTTTACAGGGCCCTGCCAGCCAAGCCCAGTCTAGGACTCCTCACCATTTTCATTTGAAGAGCACCAAGAGTGGAGGTGAGGAGGAAGGGGGCTCATCTGATGCCTCGGACTTCAGTGGAGGAGGAGCCCATCCCTTGCACCCTGTTTCACCTGCACCCCTTTGCATTTTACCTGCAGGAGCTCCTTGGCAGACCAGCGCTGCTTCTCATCTGCCTGCAGGCAGCAGCTCAGGAAGTCATGCAGCCAAGCTGAGAGGAGCTTGGGCTGCCGCAGCTGTGGGGTCCCTACTGTGGCTATCAGGCGTTTAGCCTAGAGAAAAAGGAAACATGAGGCTCCACCTGCCGCTTTCACATCTTTAACTCCTCTCCCAGATCCCTTTGCTTGACCTCTCTTCTTCAGTGGCAGTTACTGCCTGGGCAGAGACCCAGAGATGCCTTTCCTTTACCAACCAAAAACCCAAACCCCGATGCAGCCACAGCTTTTCCAACATCCTGCAGATCTTGCCTTGGCAGCTGATTTCACTGACTGACCTACTCAGTGGGAACTACATCAACAAAAGCACATTTGCTTCTCTGAGGATTGACACCAGCGTGACAGGCTTTTTGGAAGGGGGACTTTGCTCTACTAACTAATTCCAAGTTTTAGTACATGAAAGGCATCTCTGCAGTGCTTATTGTTCCCTTAAGCACAGCTGCCATAGAACAAAACTCATCAAGCTTTTTGCTTTGTTATGAAAACAATGGTAAATGGAAGAAAAGAAAGGAAATCCATCAGTTAATCCCCAGGTAAGGAAACTAGCATCTACAATCTCATATTCAACTCAGACACATTAAGATGCCTGCCAAAATGTATTGGGATGAAAATGCCTGCTTGGGCACACAGGAAACACCTGCAACTCTGTCTCTCAGCAGTCAGAAAATTTCAGCTTCCCATTATGCAGCAGAGGAAAACTTTTCATAGCCAGAAGAAGGAAAGGTGCCATCCCTATGGTCACTCTCTGCTCATTTGGATACTCAAGTCAATGCATTAATGGTTGGCCCATCCCAGAAAGTGCCAGGAAACACTGGGAGGTTTTGGCAGGCTCTCCACATGACCAGGCTCTGGCTTGGTGACGTGGAGAACATGGCATGGGTTGTGAGAGAAACACATGGGTTGTGAGGTCACAAAATGTTTCAGCAGCACTGCACCAAAAGCTAGAGACTCTGTGGCCTCTACACCCTCCTGCCCAGGTTTCAGGCAAGCTTCCCAGTGAGAAGAAACTGCACAGTGGGTTAGGTTCCTCTCTAAAAAACACAGTTTTAGAAATTTTGTTGGGTTTGGGTTTCCTTTCTTCATTTCTGGAAAGCTAACAGCAGTTCTAAGATGCTTGTTTCCTGTTGTTGGGGCCATCTACACAGACAAAAGAACTGGAAACACTTATAACCCAAAGGTAAATGCTGCCTGAGAATGGAGTTTTTTTGCATGTGGTAAGGCTTGAGTTCCCCCTCTGATGCAACCAAAGCTACAGCAGATGCTGATATCTTGCAGGGACATTTTGAGGAGGGGACCTTGGTGGAAGTAGTTCCAGCAGATGGCAATGGGATTTTGTCCAATGGCACGCAGGACATGGGACAGGTGAGAAAGACAGCGGGACCAGTGAGTATTTGCTCCTTACCTTGGCAGGACTTTGGTTCCAGTAAGGAGGTTCTCCATCTACCATTTCAATTCCCACAATTCCAAAAGACCATATGTCCACTTTGGGGCCATATGGCTGACATGACACCATTTCAGGCGCCATCCACCAAGGAGTCCCGGCTACCAAGCACCCTCTGCTCAGGGCTGAACCGAGTAGAGAGGCCCAAATCAGCAGAGGAGAAAGCAAAATAACTGTTTTTATTTTAATTCTGTGCAATTAGGAAACCAAGCAAAAGAATTTCTCAGAAGGCAAAATAACTGTTTTTATTTTAATTCTGGGCAATTAGGAAACCAAGCAAAAGAATTCCCTCAGTAGAACTTTGAAAATGTGCTGTTCAATCTCCTGGACAACTGTCCCTGCTCTGTTTTCTCAGGACTTTAGCCAAGGAAATATGGCATTGGTGACTTAAAAAATCTCTCTCCACATTTTTTACACTCCAACAGTGGCCTTTGTTCTTTGGAAGCTTTAGACGTGTAGCTCCCTCCCTCTGGAAGGGACACACACAGAGCAACGCCACTCTTGGCTGCTTGTTCCTTGCCATACCTCTGTACATCTTACAGCCGCGTCATCAGCTCATAGCGGGTGCCTCTGAACTGCCACCGGCACCATTTTTGGGGAGCTGGCAGCCACTCAAAGCAGCCCCGTAGCCCCACATCCCTGGAATGCTGCACCTGACCAAGAATATACTGACCCAGCTTGACACAGCCGTCGGTTCTGAGAAGGATGTTGCTGCTCTTCACATCTCGGTAGATCACATGGTTTGAGTGAAGAAAATCCAGTCCTTGCAGGCACTGAGAGAGGAAACAGAAACAGGAGGGCAAAACTAAGTGATGTGACTTCATCTCACAAGAAAAGACACAAAGAATCAAAAAGATTCCCTCTCCAGAGGAATGGGGAGTAATGGCAGAACACAGTGCCATTGAGAGGAAGAGCTTGCTGCTCCAACGCTTGCAGAGCAGAACCTTTCTAAGGAAAGGCATGTCAGCTTTGGAAAGAGCAAGAGCACCTGCTGTTGTAGACTGTCCCCTGCAAACCAGCCAGGATGACTGCTGCTGCAGGGGATGTGCTCAGAAACAAACAGCATTTTAGCTGCACTCCTATCCTTTTTAACTGAGGACTGAGAGAAATGAGTCTCTCTCTTTTCCTTTGCTGTTCCTTTCAAATCCTGCCACCAGCACCTTTGCTTTTACAGGCAAGGAATGCAGTGAAGACAGGCAAAATTTAGGGAGGCAAGATGGAGAATAGCAAATACAAGAGGCAGAGCGAGAACACAACAGCAGGAGATAAGAGTACAAGAACTGAGTACAGTGATTGCAGGAGCACTGGCAGGCCTTTCACTTGAGATGCTTTTACTTGCCCATAGCATAGCAGCAACACAGAAACAAAGCTTGGCACATGAAACCCCTCCTGTTCTGAGCCCCTCTTTCCCAGACAATCCTGCCCAAGCCCTCGGAAGCACAGATGGGATTGCTGACCTCCCGACTGATGGCTGCCATGTCATCCTCAGACAGGCTGGTCTTGCTGATGACCTCGCTCAGGGCACCTCCGTCCATGTACTCCATAACCAGCCAGAGTTCCTCCTCACTCAGAAGGTAGCTGAAAGAAGGAAACAGGGGTGTGGAGATAAACATGCATGGCAGGAATAGACATTCCCTCTAGGCTGTGCATTGTTTGCAGTCTGTGCAGTCTCAAGGAGAAAGGCACAGCTGTGAAAAAGGAGATGTCTTAGATGGCCAGCAAGTGAAAAGTGCAGTTTAGTAACAGCCCAGATGAAAAACCTGTCAAGCATGGTGCTTCTGGAAATAAGCACCTAGTCTTCCTGGCATGCATAGCAATGGCAAAGAGGGGCAAGGATCTTAGGGAAATTCACTTTAGGATGGTTCATCAGCATTTAAGAAACTTTAAATAATCAATCCCGAAAAAAATGTGGAGGCAGTGAACTTTGAGGGTATCGACTTAGTAAGATACAGCTGATCCAGATTTTGAAAAATTTTTGAATAGTTTTCAAACTACTTGTGCCAGAGAAGACTCATGCAGACAAGATGCACTCTCTTCTCATCCATTGGAGATGAGTAGAGAAATACTAATACATAATTAACAGCTCTACTTTCTGCCACTGAGTTTTTAACCTCTCATGTTTGCTGTATGTGAACGCACATTCATGGGATACGGCATGACCTCTCACCTGTCTAAATAATTCACAACACTGGGACTCCTATGCCTCTTCATGATCATGATTTCATGAAAAGTTAGTTGCTTCCTCCTCAGTTCTTGAAGATTTATTTTCTTTATGGCCACCTAAAATGACACTGAAAATCAGTAACTTGAAAAGTTGGTGGCATGAGACCACAACACACATGGAGCGAGTGATCTTGCAATGACACAGCCGAGCTGTGCCAAACTGCCTTGTGATTAGTCACTGCAGTAATTAGGAACTGACATTCCAACAGCCCATTTCTCTGCTCCCTTGTAGGGCAGTTAAAGGACATGTGGGGCCACTGGCGTTTTAACTTGTCCACTTGGTAACAGTGGTGTGTCAACCATGAGCGACAAATCTCTGACCACACTCTCTGCTGCTATGTATGGGATTCAGAAGAAGTAATCCAGGCCTTAATACTCTGTGGATACATCTTGGGCTATGGGCAGGGCTTAGGGCTTTTAGGGATGCCTTGCAGATCTCTCCCTATGTGCAGTTCCCAAGTGCAGCACTGCAGGTGGCTAAGGAACTACCAATAACTTTCAGATGTATTTGCTGGCAGCCAGAAATGAGAATTCAGGACTCTGAAGCTGTAGCCCCAAAGGGCAGCGAGGTGCTCTAAGGCACCACCTTTGTTTTAGCAATGGAGAGCGAGTGAGCGCGTCCTTCTCTGAAAGGAACCACTGCCCTCCGTGCCTTCCTTCTGGCAGCTGAGAAGGACAAAGCCCCAAATGTATTTTGCAGGCTGGTACCAGTCTGTGCTTCTTGTGCCCTTTCAGCACAGCTCTACCCAAAGCTCCAGCCACAGCTCATAGCAGAGGGGAAAGCCCTCGAGTGCAGCAAACTCTGCAGGGGCTGTTGACATTTACCTCTTCCCCTGTGGCATTGTTGAGTGCTCTAACCACATTTCCAAAAGACCTAGAAACAAAAGAGAAGCAGAGAAAGGAGAACATGTTTAGCTCTTCGAGTGAAAGCCAGCCCACACAGGAGATCTCTGCTGTAAGTGCTAAAAACCTGCAGGATGCAGGGGGGCTCTGCCAGAAGGCAGATGATGCATTTTCCTCTCAAGTGCATGAGCACTGGGCCTGTTCTTGAAGCATTGGGGTCCAACTTCTAAAGGGAGTTTTTTCTTTCATCTTGGGTTTCAGTGTCTGAACTGTGTTGTTCCTCTCCTGATCACAGAATATTCCCTTCAGCAAACCATGGGAAAGAAATGTTCCTGAGAACTGTTATCTGACAGCTTTGATAGGGGGTAGGTTGCTCTTTCAGGCAAGCAAGATTCTTCTTTTTTCATTAGTGTAGCAGTAAGATTTTGAGACGAACAAAAATGCTAAAGAAATTAACACAGAGCTGTCCCACGCTTGCAAGACAAGGAGATCTTCCAAGTCCTGTTCCTTGATGCAGGCAAGACCTCGGCAGCATGGAGATGTCTCTGACAAAGCCTTCTGAGCACACACAAATTCTGAGTAGCACTGGGAGATGGGACAAGCTATCCCCAGGGTGTGAACATGTTTGCAGCTGGCCTGACTTCACGCTGGATAGACATTCCATGAGAAAAACACCTGGCCCATGGCTGTGTAGAAGTGACTGCAGTTGGACTCACCCACTGCCAATGTCTTCCAGTTCCGTGTATTTAATCACGGGGTTTCCCATGGTCACCATTCTCCCTGAGGGAAACAAAATGCAAGATGCTCACTTTAAAGCAGAGATCTCAGCTTCCAGGAGATACAGAAGGCAGCCCCACTGTCTGGGGCTGTGAGCCTGTTGTGGTCAGCTGGGTAACAACAACAACAAACAAACCACAACAGCAGCAGGACAGGCAGCCCTGCAGTGCAGATGGCTGGCACAGAGACTGATTTTGTCCAATCCTTTGAAGAGTTCTCTTGATAGGAAACAAAGCACAGGGAGATGCAATCCCAGGAGAGGAAGACATCTTCTCCACCTTTCAGCAGTTTGCCAAAAAGAATGCCTTTCTGTTTGTAAACCACAGCAGCTCAAGCTATAACCAATCCCAACGGGGCTTTTAGCATCAGGACCCTCACCCTTTATGAGCAGGCTGAGATCAAAGATGCCCTTCTCCCAGCTAAGGAAGGCTCCAGCCTCTGCAGTCCCACCAGCCTTCAGGGGCAGGGCAGCTACCACAAGAAGGCTGGCAAAGCCCAAGTGTGAGCGCTGACAAGCAGTAAGAAGAAGCCACAGGCAGCCTGGGCCCCGTACAAGCTGTTGCCCCCATTCAGGACACAACAGGATGGGCTTCGAGATCAGACACAGCAAGTTGCAGATCAATGGCCTTTTTGTCCCAACAGGTGATGGCAGACACAGAATCCACTGGGCCCTGCTCTCAGCCCCACCAGGTCTTATCTGAGAGCACAGCACTGGCAGCTGTTATGGACAAGAAGCAGATTCATTGGGTTGTGCTGCAGAATCACAAAGGACTTGATGTGTTTTCCGAGAGACTGATCTGAGCAGGGCTTGGGCCAATGGGTAGGATTCTAAGAGTCATGGGAAAGAGTGGGAAACAGGTATGAAAATGTGCCATGTGTCTGAGGAATACACCATGGGTGGACTGGAGGCTCTCTCCTGAGAAATGCCTGCAGTAAAGTTTTATCTGATCATGACACTTGGATGTGTCTCTTGGACACATCTTTATAAGCAAAAAACCAGAATATTAAATAAAGGTTGTTATAAAAGTATCTGTTTTTCCTTCAGGGGCACATGGAAAACACCTCCTGCTCTCTAGTTGTCTGTAACGTGATGTTCTTTCAAAGTAGATCTTATTGACAAAAATCTAGCATTTTCTTATTGACAAAAATACAGCATTCTCATGAAAATAAACTGCAGATGTAGTAGTGGTAACAGCAACAGTCATAAAAATGACATCAGTAAGATGTGGACAGAAGGGCTCCTTCAGGATTGAGAAAAACCAACTCCACAAAAAATACCCCACAAACCAACAACAAAAACCCACAAAACACAACCAAAAACCCCCATAACAACAAAAAAACAAAAAGCCCCCAACAAATAATAAACAACATAAAAACACCCCCCCCCAAAAGAAAAATCCCCAACCAAAAAGACAAAACTCCAAAACCAGTGAATTTCTGTGAAGTTTTTTTGCTCTGATGACTGGTTGGAAGTCAGGAGTCTAAGGAGAATTTAGGAAGCTAAAAATTCTGTTCAGTTTGGCTACTAGCACACAGGACTTGCCTAGATGATTTGCTAGCTCAAAGCCTTCTGCTGATACAAGAACAATCCCTGTTTCAGCATTTAGCAGAGAGGGAAAGCTCAGGCAAGGCCAAGCCAGTCCAAGCTGCCCTCAGAGGCAGCAGGAACACCCAGAGCCCTCTCTCACTGCCTCGGAGCACAGCACTTCCTCTGGAGAGTCCTAAATGTCGCCAGTGGGGCACCAAAGTCAGGAGGAGCATTTGGTACAGCTATGCAGACACCTGCACAGAATACACTGTCCTTCAGACAAGAAATACACCAGACATACCCAGCATCTCCAGGTACCCCTTCTCAATCTTCTGTGTTAAAGACATGAAGGAACTGCCCAAGATCGAGTTCCCAAGTTTGATGGAATAGGTTCCTGGAGGTAATGCTGCTGCTGCGGCAGCAGGTTTACTGCCAGAGCCCATGTAGCTATGCTGAAACTGTAGGACTTCTGGTGGGCACTGTTCCTGTGCCTCACGCCAGCCTTGGGGCTCTTCATTGCCAGTTATTTGCTGGAAGTCTTCGTAGGCTGCCAGGCGAGACAGCAACGCTTCCACCTCAAGTCAAAGAGAACAAAGCAGTCAGAGACTACAGCTTGTCCCTGTCAGCCAAGGGTCATTGACTGTGAGGAAAGGGAAGGAACTGATTTACAAGGGATACAGACAGCTTGTTTCAATCCTCCATCTGGGTCACCATGTTCCACTCTAAAAACATCTCCAGAAAGAGAGCAGGAACAGGCCAGCAGGAATCAATTTGGATGACTGCTGGCCAAAAGGCCAAAGAACAAGTCCCACTGTTCAGGGCAGCAGCTGAGATTCAGCACAGCAGGAAATGTCCTTCAGAGTGACTGTGATACACACTAGAGCAGGATGGTGCTCAGAGACATCGCCCCACTCCCTGCTGCTCTGCAGTGGAAGGGCAAGAAGGGCAGAAAGCACCAGTTTGGTGACTGCAGTGACTGTCCCTCCTTCACTCACTTGCTTTTGTAGAGCCTGAGGGAGGGAATTGACTTTCTCTGTGATGATTTTCATTTCTTCCTCCAGCTTCTCCTCCCATACCTTCATCCTAGCTTCAGTTTTCTGCAGCTCTGCCTGCACATCTTCCTTGACGCTCTGGAGAAAATGGAGAGGAAGTTTCATGAGTGGAATGGCTGCCACTCTCTCACTTACCTGGTCTTGTTGATCGCTCCTGTGCTGGAAATTCATCTCCTCTTGAATTCTTCTCATGTCTTCTTTGTTCCTCCTCTTCACTGCCATGATGGCACTCTGAGCTTCGGGCAGCTCTGCTTGTGGCTCTACCTTGATGTTCTGTACACACAAATGCAGAGCAAGTGACTGGGAGCTGCCATCAGGCTCAGCTTTTTCCTCTTGCAGCCTCAAAATCACATCTATTCAGCCACTTCTTTCTGCTTCCCTACCCACATCTGCTTCCACTGCAAACCTCCTGTCCCGGTGCTGATTTCTGCAGATTCCAAGGCTCTGTGCTTTCAGTGCCTGTGGAACTCCTGGCCTCCTCAGTCCCAAGAGCTCTGTTTTATACCCCTCTTCCTGCCCTTCCCTCTGTCACCTGGCAAGTCAGGCTTACCTGGCCATTCTCCTGTGGCTCTTCCACCTGCTGCCTGAGCTGCTCTTCCTGCTCTCTAGCTGGGAACAGCTCTCCCTGAGTCTGGCATGGCATCTCTGATAAAGAAGTATGCTCCTGCTCTTTCTCTAGAAGGACCTGCACAGAAAGCAAGAGGAGATGGGTTTCACCTTCCCGTATGACATTTGTGGGCCAAGACTCAAAGGCTGATGGGCTCACACAGTCCCAAAGCACTGTGCTTCTGCTCCCCTGGGTCATTCTCTTTCCACAGGGAGGCACAGATTCCAAAGTGACCCTGGCACTCCAATCAGGGGCCATCTGGCAACTGAAGCTCCAACAGCCTGTCAGGCAGCTGACAGGGAATGTGTGGCATTTCTCAAGGCTCTGGTGAGGGCCTCCCTCTGCTCCTGCCGTGTCCTCTTTGTCTTTCAGTAGTGACTGACACCCAGCCCTGTCCCACAGCTCCATCCTGGCTCTGCAGGTGGTTTCCTGGCTGAGCTCACCCCTTGTGAGAGACATTTCTGCAGTTCATGTTCTCCTCAGGCCTGAACCAGCATTCCTGCCTTTCTGACATCTACACTATTGTTAGAAACCCTGGCCATTCAGGACACAAGGATACATGCAAAGATCCTCTGACGGAGGTCACAGAGCCTCTATGGCCACCTCAGTATATGGAAGAGGACCAAGGTGTTTCTTCTCCCTCTTTTGTCAACTGAGAATTCTGACCAGCCATAACAGAGGCTCTCATAAGGCCCCAGTAACGAATGCACTTACACGCTCCTGGGGATGCCAGCGAAGGAAACAATGTGTCATGTAATGAATGTATGACCAGAGTCACCAAACACCACCTAAACATGGAATTGTTCCATCTCTCTAGGACAGGCAAAAGTTTAAATAATTAACTGGGGACTTCAGGGCAGAAGAGGCCAGAGGAGGAAAATGGCTCTGAGGGGAAAAAACACCATATCTGGAGGGGGAAAATCTCTGCCTGCTCAGAATCGGTCAACGGAACATGTCTCTAATCCTCTCCCAAAAAGGATGCTTTAGGTGAGCCTTTCACCTCCAACTGCCTTG